TGTGATGTACCTGTACCTGATTATAAGAGTCCTATTCTTTCCCAAAAATAGATCTGCTTAAATTTTTATCAACACATCCTAAGGCTTTTCTGGAAGGACTTTCAGCAGGGCTCCCTTGTGCTGCCCTGGCAGTAGGTGGTCTTGCCATAATTCTGCCCCTACCTTCCCGCCTTCATCCCAAAATACTTCATAGTATTTTGTGACAAAAATACTACTTATGTGCCTATCATTGTGCTTAACTATGGCTTCAGATTTCATTAGGCAGAGCCAATGGAGGACCCATGTTTAACAGGGATTAAAGTTGAGAATGTCCATGTATCTGTTAAAAACCTCAGTCCAATAATCTTACTGCCGAATCTGGATGGGGAGGGAGTAGAGTTTTGACCAGAAAGCCAGGTCACAGATGGGTGATTGTGTCATCCCTGAAGCTAAGATACTTCTCCTACCATACTGCAACAGCAGCTACTTGAGATTTACAAACACACAACTTCATAAAATACTTCATGACATCTTGGATGCTTTGGATCGAATTGTGCCTAAAGGCAAATGACCCTTTGATATTTCCTCCAGCCCTATTATTTCTGTTTTAAAACCAGTGTTCAGGGGCACCTGGGTGGCTCAGTGGGTTAGGTCTCTGCCTTCAGCTAAGGTCATGATCTCAGGATTCTGGGATCGAGCCCCACACCGGGCTCTCTGCTCAGCAGGGAGCCTGCTTTCCTCTCTCTCTCTCTCTCTCTCTCTGCCTGCCTCTCTGCCTACTTGTGATCTCTGTCCGTCAAATGAATAAACAAAATCTTTAAAAAATAAAAAATAAAAAAAAAATAAAAGTGTTCATGGCAATGAATGAAAAATTCCTGGATTCTTGACTGAAGAATGTTCCTTCCTTCTCTATTTGAAATTTTTTACCTGTTCTTGAAAGTTGCACGTGGAATGAGGAGATAGGGCCATGTATCTGCTCAGGGCAGTCAAATCAACCCTGGTGTGTAATATGGTGACAGATTATGTCCTCAGCCTCTGAAACTGTACACTTTCCATTCACTTCAGTCATGGTTTAACTGAGGTGTTGGTTCACACGTGGGTTGTCTATGCCCCCAACCTAAGTCCTCAATTAACGTGAGATAACCTGAATGTGTAGTGCCTGGTACAGAGCCTGCAACATTGTAGGCATTCAGTAGATGCTATCTGATTGCTTATATTTACTTTCAAGCAACACTGAGTGGCAGCAGCCTCCCAAACAAACTTTATGTGCCATTTCAGAAATTGGTCACAGACCATTGGATTGTAAATGTGAGCTATAATGTCATTGTCATCCTCAGGGACAGGCAGTTTCTGACATATAGTAGGTTCTAAATAAATATTTGAGGCAGTTTCTGACACATAGTAGGTTCTAAATAAATATTTATTTGAATAAATAAATATTCAAATAAATATTTGAATAGGTTCTAAATAAATATCTAAATAAATATTGATCAGTGATGCAGACTTCTGAGCATCAGAAAGAAAATGGTTATAAAGGGGCATTCACAAATGCACAAAGATTGCCCCACTTTCTTTTAGAGTCATCTTACTGTTCTTTTAGAAAACAAAACAAAACAAAACAAAGAACAATGAATAGAATGCTGCCTGTTTTGAACCGCTTGAAAGATGTGAGGACCAGAGATTTTTAATTTGGTAAGTCATAAGACAAATTCATGTTTAACCAAAATCACGAGATGCTCTGCTCAACCGTCTTGTAGCAGATGGGCTCACGGTGCCTCAGGAACAGCAGAAGGGGACTTAAGAATGTTGAAGGATTTGAGTTTATAGAATTGTGTTTTGATTTTACGACCTTCCATTGCAGTTCTCTGATCACTTTCTGTGTGCTAGGCATCGTACCAAGTAATTTTTATACTTATATAATTTATTGCAAATTAAATCGTGAGACCATAAATTTTTATCTCTATTTTGCAAGAGGGATTTCATGTGCACTGACTTCCTCAAGGTCTCCTGATATATAGCGAGGCTAATGTAAGATTCCATTCCTTAATTTAGTGTATTCAGAGTGTGTAAGTATCTCATTTATTCCTGAAGTTATGTACTCATTTGTTTTATCCAATGCTTAGGGCAGCTTTTCTCCTAAGGTTGGTAATAACTAATTTCTCTAAATGATTTAAGGAGAACCTTACTGGCACATGGGTAGTTTACAGGTTAAGTCTGAGCCAAACTCATGTCTGAATCCCAGCTCCTTGATCCTGATTGTGTGATCCTGCCCAAGTTCCTTAACCAATTTGTGCCTCGGTTTCATTAACTGAAAAAAAAGGGTAATAATTAAAGGAGTGAATTCACTCACAGTACTTAGAATGCTACCTGATACATACTAAATGCTCAATAAATGTTAGCTATTATTGTTATTAAAAGCACAATAGATTTTCCTGATAATTCATGAGTACTGCAGAATTCTAAAATAGCTTCTGAATCATGGAAATTGTGGTCAGTGAAAAGTATTTACTTTATTCTAATTCTTTGCAAACTGATGATCCATGGGGTGTCAACAGTTTACTAATAAAAATTCTTTTACAGATTATTTGGTATTCAGAAGGTATTTTCCCATTTAAATACTACTTTTTGTGACAAAGATACCGAATGCCTATCTAGTATTCCATTTTTCCTTCATCATTGACAGAGCACTAATTTTATTCTGGATGACAATGTGTGGGCCAAAGAACCATGTTTCTGGCCTTCATCCCAGGTGGGATGGCCAGAGATATAAACAGATAGTGCTGACTGAATAGGACTTCCAGGAAAGGCCCTTCAGTTGACTCAGCTGGGGAAAGTCTTTTTGCCCTTCCTCTCTTTCTCCTCTGGGTTTTGATCACAGACCTGATGTCTGGGGCCCTGGTTGTCATCTTGGACTTTAAATTGAACTTGAGAAAAGAAATGACTTGTTCAGTACAGAGAAGCAGAAGGATGGGCGCTGGATGCCTAATACCAGTTGTGGACCGTCTTCTTTCACATGAGAGGAAGACAAACCACTTTAATGTTACTTGGTTTTTCTGCCCCTTACAGCTGTACCTAATAGCAATTCACCCTTGTACTTTGCTCGGTCGCTGCAAAATGGACTTAGAATACTACAGTCCTTCAACAAACATATGCTGAGCATCTGTTGTTGCATGCCAGGCATTGTTTTGGGGCTGAATATGATAAGGGAAGAGTCTCTGCCCTCAAGGAATTAACGGCCTCACGGAAGAGATAAGTAATTATAATAGTACAATGATCTCAAGTGCCAGAATCAGGAGTAGGAGATGGGTTGGTCAGGATAGACCTGACTTTCAGGAGCCCATGACATAGTTGAGTATCAAGTGAGAAGGGAAGGGCATTTCTGGCACAGAAGTATCTGACGGAAATGACCCAAGATACACTGCAACACTTCTACAAGCAAATGAACTGTTTCTGTTTTAGGTGCCGAGAGTATTATCTAACTTTTGCTTATGGGAGCCAGGTCTTTACATTTCTATCATACCATCATCCTCTAAGAATCCAAGTTAGTGACAGGCAGTCCTGCCATATAATAGCAGTGGGTACTATCTGTGGAAGCAATGCTGGGCCCTTGCATAAAGAACTGACTAGCAGATGTAAAGATACCTATACTCACAAGATAGACATGGGAAGAAAGCGCATTTGGCAAAGAGGTAGACAGGTGTTATCCTTTCCTTAAGCTGACTGGAGGAAACGGCTGGAAAGGAAAGGCTGGGTGCCCATCTCTTGTCTATCCTGTCCTGCTCCCCACCCCTCCCGCCCCTGCAGTCCTGGGAGCAGAGAGAGAAGTGTTAGAGGAAGGAGGAATTTGCAGCAGTGAAACATGACATGGAATGCTTGTAGCAGACCCTGCTGGGACAGTGGTTTGCATGAAAAGTCATAGACTGGGTCTGCCTCTATGGCACACATACTAGCTTCCAAGACTAGACTCCTTTAGTCTCAGTGTGCAAATATAAGTTTACCGTTTCTAATTTAAAGGCTGTGTTATAAAATTAAAAATGCTCCCAAGGGCAATGAAATGTGAGATCTAATCTGATAAAAACTGTCCCATCTATTACAGAAGATTCACCCACAGTTGGCCTCTTAAATCTGACTTAGTAACATGAAGGACAAAAATGGGGGGCGGTCTTAAGAAACTGTAGTGATGTTAGGCTTTTTCCGATGTATTACCTCATTTAATCCTCCTAACTTAGAGTCAGCTTTATTTTTATAGATGAAGGAAATATGGCTAACTGATTTGCTCAAGGTCATATAGCTAGTAAGTGATAAAAGCAGAACTCAACCACAGGGCTGTCTATTTCCCAAATCTCTGTTTTCATTGACCTTTGAATTGTATACTACTCAGATTCAGCACCAGCACCAAAATAGTATGAAACAGTAAAGCGCTAAAGGCTCTATTTTTTAAGAAGATTTTATTTATTTGAGAGAGAGACTGTGTAGGAGAGAGAGAGAGAGAGAATATGACAGAACATGAGCTGGGATGAAGGGTGGGGGAAGAGGGAGAAGAAGACCCTGCTGAGCAGGGAGCCTGACGTGGGGCTCCATCCCGGGGCCCAGGGATCATGGCCTGAGCCGAAGGCAGATGCTTAACTGACTGAGCCACCCAGGCGCCACTCAAAGGCTTTATTTTCCTTATTACTTGGAAATATCCGATATTTAGCTTTCAATAACTGATTACTTAATCAGCCAGCAAGTGTTAAAATGTATACATTTGTTAATAACACGTCTTCGTTTTTTACAGTGCTTCAGCAGCAGCTTTGAGTTGGCTTTTAGTTTAGAAAAATCTAGATCGTTGTCAAGCCTGAAGTTAGAAAGCAGTAATTTCCCCTCCTGTTTTTATTCCCTGCATATTCCACTGAGCCCAACAACAACAAAAGAACCATTAACTCCACTGAACAAGTCTTACTCCAGCTCCCTCCAGGGCACTTCAGTAGTTAGTTTCACCTCAATGAATACTGACTACAGGAAAGAAAGAAACAAAGAAGATTTTTTCAACCACATTTACTGGCTCACATAAATATTTGAAAACGAATCCATCTGTTTTCTCTTTCTGTGTCCTTGGCACAATTTATCACAGTTCTTATTACACAAATTACTGTAAATATCCATAAGGGGAAAATGAATTGTAAAATATGAGAAGGAGGCTGATAAATAGCCAAGTTTGTCAGCCACTTGAAAGGACTATTTTTTCCCTTAAGATTAAGCCACTGATTTGCAAGTTTTACTAAAATAAGTTTCATCTATTAAAAAAAAGGTTAATTTATAACTTGATCTCAAGTTTTGACAGTTGAATTTTTACATAAAAGCTGCAAAATTTCAACTAAAGAACAAATAAAACATTCAGAGGTAAGTTTATTCCAACTTCAGCAAATAAAGAATGACTGCGTATCCATTTACGTTATTTCTCTGGTCCAGAATGATACACTTTCCATTTAAAATATTTGTGATCACGCTTCTGTGTGTCATGGACAGCTTCTAGTGGGCATTGGTATATAGTCTGTTCTTGATGAAGACAACAATGGACAGATGTTGCCTGATCCCTGGATAATGCTGAATGTGACAAAACCAGCGAGACACATTAAGATATTTCTCCTTTTCTTGAACTGTCAGGTCAACCTAAACAGAGATTAAAAACACACACAACACAGACATTGCATAAGAACAATTTTCAAAATCATTTGCGTACAAGATAGAAAACTCAGGGAGAAAAATTCCAGTTCTCAAAAGCCAATAGATTTAGATAGGAGTAAGAGTTTCAGCCACTTAGAAGAGTCATTTGTTTGATGCTTTTACGTTCAGTTCAACACCAGGAGTGCCTTTTAGGGAAGTCTCAAATTTTCAACAAACGCAAGAATTACATTAACCCAGCATCTGGAGGTCCAAGTGTTACAGAACTTGGGTTCCCTCAGTGCCCAAGTCTGTGCTGCTTCGAAGAATGAAGAGGTCCAGATGAAGACTGGTGGACAGCAAAGAAAATATTGAGGAAGAGTATGAAGTTCCTGGAGAGGAAGGGGGGCCTGCGTGGGCTGCCCTCGGAGTTTCTAAGTTTGGGGGGTTTTATGAACTCTTTTGCAGAACTTTCTTAAGCAATCAGGGTGTGCTGAGTCCGGCCAATCAGGGTTTTGTTCAAGTACGTATGTCTATTAGGTTAATGTCCATGTGCTGATGGTCTTTTTTTTGCTGACATCTGGGAGCTCAGGTCTGAACTACCTCTTGCCTGTGATATTGACAGATACTTCTGTGGTTAATTGTCTTATTTTAGAACGTTTTGCAGAAGTCATTTCTGCAAAGGCTGCAAAGCAGAATGTTGGTATGATCCTGTCTAAGCTGCAAAACAGGATGTTAGTGCTGTTTTATCTTAGCTGTTCTGACTCCATATTTTCTTGTTCGGGCGCTGGCTCTGATCATCAAACTAACAGAAAGAGTTTTGTTTTTTACTTTTCAGAAAGGAAGATAGGAGAAAGGAAGACAATAGCTTTCAAAAGACTAAGACATTAGTTCTTTCTACAATATTTTTTAGCAAATCCAAAAGCAAGTTTTATTAGGCTTTAACATGCTTAACAAGGGAATACCATGTAAACTTGAAAAAAATATACACTTCCTTTCTATTAAACTCTGGGGAAAAACTGTATTCAAGGAGACAATGACCCACTTAATTTCAAGTGATTATTGCCAAACACAAGAAGGAAGGGCTATTTCCAGTGGCATATGCCTCAGATGAACAAAAGACCTTCTCAATTTGGTCTGCTACAAAACTGAACTCTATCTCCAGTGAATGTAGTATGTCACACAATTTCCTGTCAAGCTACAAGAATGCCCAAAGATTTGGTTAGAGAAAGATGAAAAAAAGAACAGCTGGTGCCGATCATTTCACTGGGCTCCAATTCCAGAGTAGGTGACTCAGAAACTTTTCTCTGAGACAAATCTTGGACTGGAATCATAAAGAGTTGTCAGATAAAGAGAGAGCCAATGGGGCAGTAACTACAGCTATGACCCATGTTTAAGAATAGGGTAGCTGGGGCACCTGGGTGGCTCAGTGGGTTAAGGCCTCTGCCTTCGGCTCGCGTCGTGATCTCGGGGTCCTGGGATCACCCCTGCATCGGGCTCTCTGCTCAGCAGGGGGCCTGCTTCCTCCCTCTCTCTGCCTGCCTCTCTGCCTACTTGTGATCTCTGTCTGTCAACAATCAATCAATCAATCAATCAATCTTAAAAAAAAAAAAGAATAGGGTAGCTGGCTCCTTTTCATGTTGTTAAATTAACATTTACTCAACTACTATTACAAGTGTTTGTAAAACGGACTGGCATATTCACACAAGAGAAAAAAAAAACCCTCCTGGTTCAAACACGTTAGCAGGCTGCTTGTTGTAAGGTACGTCTAGTGAGACAGACGTCTTGTGGCTGTTCAGAATTTAGCATATATTCATGTCTATAGGCAAATACTCTATGTTACTGAGTCAACAACACTGAAGGGCAAATCACTCTAGTAGGCAAAGTGTATTGCAGAATACAAAACAGTATTAATAAAATTAAAAGCAGACACATAGTATTCTCTCAATAAATGTTTACTTGAACTCATATTCCCATTTCATATTTACTATGAGGTAATTTAAAAAGAAAATTGATATATATCATCCTGCTTTCCTTTTTACCTTAGATATGAGGATATTATTCTATCAATATCTGATATCTGAACATTGCCTTTGGTGGCCTTTGATGTCCAACTCTGTTGGCTCAGTTTACCTAAATTATTAGTAGTGAGTCTCCTGCTTTTGCTACATAAAAAAAAGTTAAGTTTCAGATGTAGATCCTTACTTACAAGCTGCTAAACAAATTATAAATATCTTGTTTAAGGTAGTATAGGGTTACATCTAGTTATCAGAAATATGTTACTATAACTGTTTCACCTATAATATCATTCATCTATGGCCTGGAGGTACAAAATTAACACATTACTCAAAAAAATTGGCCAAGAATGTCTTTTCTTAATATAAAAGGTACTTTTTATTAAAAGAGAATTCATGGCTTCACATATGAAGAATTATCTTATCCCTAAGAATTATCTTACTCCTAAGATTTATCTTACTCCTAAGAATTATCTTATTCCTGGTCTGTACACAGGAGGCAAATAAACAACCACTACAGAATAAACTAATCATCAGTTTATATTTCGAAAGGTAAAACATATTTGTAAACATATGTAAACATATTTTGTAAAAGAGCTGACATTTCATTCTTTTTCTAAATCGTTCCCATATGTGAACCTCATCACTGACTTCAAAAGAAGACACAAGATTTTTTAAAAATCTCAACAACTAGTAAACACAGTGACAAATCTAACAGGAAATGGGGGGTGAGTTTTCTTCATTCAAACATACATACATATGTACATACATATATTTGAAATCAACTTCAGCAAACCTCTTTCGCGAAAACAAGATACTACACACAACAAAATCAATATTCTCCAACTTAAAAATTTCACACTAAGTCTCTAGTGTAAGAATTATGCGTAGACTCATGGCACAAAGGAATTTGTCATTTTTTGTTTTTCTGGGGGTACAAAATAAATGTTAAGATTTTTTTATTTTAGAGAGAGAGCAAGTGAGTGGGGGGAGAGGAAGAGACTCTCCAGCAGGTTCCCCACTGAGCATAGAGTCAAATGCAGAGCTCCCTTCCACAACCCTGAGGTCATGGCCTGAGCTGAAAGCAAGAGTCAGACGCTTAACTGACTGAGCCACCCAGGAGCCACGGTACAAAGTAAGTTTTATTCCAAGAGGTTCTAAAGCTTCTGCTAACATTTCCAATTTATTCCAATAATTTTTAACTAGATGATCTACTTCAGAGAATGTAAAGCTGTTCATTTTCCCTCAGAAAAGTTAGCCAAAAATACACAAGAACTTTCCCAAAAGGTTCAGGTTACCACTTACCCTCTTTTTAGTTTAAACTTTGGAGCCTGTCCCATGAATCTGAGAAATTTATAACTGATCTCTATCTCTGCCACATTTTTGGTAGACATTTTTTTCTGAATTTACCGTAAACAAACACAAAACAGATTCCTCCCCTGCAAAGAAAAACCTTACAATTTTTTAGAACTTTTTAGATGGAATCCCCTGGGCCCTTTCATATACAACATTGGTCTTCCAGCATCCCTCTCTAGTTGGCTAGTTTCTTTTCCTTTCTTACAGAAGGAAACACAATGTGACTTTTCAGTCACCACTTCCTGTTTCTTACTGGCCCACATGCCAGTGTGTCTATAGCGACGATGCTTGGCTCCTTCTACCTAATCATCCCTTTTTACTTATATTGGCTCCCTATATCTAGTCTGAACCTTCAAAGCCAAAGAGATGATATTCGTAGTCACCAATTTCCCACGGAGACATGTGAGCACCATGTTAAGTGACCCATTCTAGATTGGGGCGAGAGGCCGGTTTGCTACCTTCGGGACATTCTTTACGGTTGGTGCTCCTGGACTGCACTGCAGCTGTTTCTTGTACTTTTCCTTTCTTTCTAAAAGAACAACGTACCTCCACTGGTGTTCCTAACTTCAAAACAAATGTATTTTAGTTGATAACAATCTCATGGTCAAGCAGCACATAATGCTACAAAGGATTTCAATAATCTTGAGTAACAGTCTGTTCACAGGGACGGCTATCTATGAGTGCAATCACTTTAAGAAAGCAATGAGTCACTGGTAGGATAATAAACAGCCACGCTAACTGGCAGTTTCACAAAGGAAGAACAACGTAATATTCCTCAAAGGGAATTAAGATAGACCAGATCTTATAATTAGAGTAACTTAGCCACAACTAAAATTGGGCTCACAATGAAACAAAATACTGTGGGATTATCTGATGACTTGAAGGTTCCCTGACTGCTGTTTTGTACACTGTGCTGATTACGTATTAAGTATTTAATAATGGGAACAAATAAATGAAGGAATGCACGAGGGCAAAAATAAATATACTGCCAAAGCAAACAAAGTACAAGAAACTGTCTCGTGAATGTGAACAGGTAGCCAACCTGAGCTACACATGACTCTGCCTGAACTTAATACTGAACAATCACCTTTTTCTCATCTGGATATATTTACACCTAAGTCAAGAGGGATGTCATTTAACACCACTGTGCAAGTCTATCACAGCAGAGCTTTGAGTCTGTGAGGAGTTCCTTAAGAAGGTGTTTATTTCTCAGATGTACTTTACCTGCACACAGACCAGGCTGAGAGAGATGTTTTGGTTATGGACTCATTTCATGAACGCATAGGGACGGTAAGCTGAATGGTTTACATATCACTCTACTCACTGTTATTTTGAAAAAGAAAAGCATAATATCCTTCACAATATCCTAGTCACTACATGTAAAGGGGATATACATCCCAAAACAGGAAACATAAAGGGGCACATTATCATTAAATATTGTTAATGTAACCTGAATTTTAACATGCTGCATGGAACAAAACACTTCTAACCTGCATGAAAATCAAACGCCCTCCAGGGCACCTGAACTTATAATTAAATAAATCTGTAGCCTGTGCTATTACTATTTTGCTTTATAGAATTATGACCTTGTTCACACTGCTGGCCAAAAAGTTCCAGACAAGCTCCCTCCTCCTGAATATTTCCTTTCCCTACTGCATGACCCGCATAAGCCAGAACAGAGAAAAACTAAATACACACTTGGTTTGCAAGAGTTACACTTTATTACATGGGAGAAATGCTTTCCTTAATGAGAGCTCTATGCCACAAGAAGCCAGGCCTTCACGAGCCTGCTGACAGCATCACACATAGGATTAGAGATGACATTTCTCCTAATATTAAGCTTTTAAAATTAAGTAATGCCATGTTTAAATGTTTTAAACATGCCTACAAGGGTGCTGTTGTTAGATATAAGTTGTTCTTTTGCTCCTCTAGAAAGTAGCCATGGTCTTAACAGTGGGCTTGCCCTCAAGTCAAGCAATGGACACCTCCTAGTTTAAAGACCGTAGATTTGCCACCGGGATAAAGATGGGTAGATACCGTAACAGCAAATTCTCTTTAGCTAGAGGCTTTTGTATTTTGAAATGATGTAAACTGTGCCACGTCACCATTCTACATTAAAAGTTACTAAAGTATTTTGAATCTAGAAAATAAGAGAAGGCTGCTGTGATCAAATTTACTTCAGCTCTACTTAAACTGTCTTTACATTCGAATAAGGTTTTAGAGTTAATCATACTGAAGCATAAACTAAAGACTGCACTATAAAGATATACAACCTAAAACAGGAAGTACGAAGAGGAAGAGACTGCTAAGTATTGCTGATCTCAAAAAGCATCTAGTTGTAAGATGCATTGTGCTCAGAGCTGGAAGGGGTACAAAGAGAAATAAGACATGATCCTCCTTAGTCCCCTTAGTTTGCTTAAAATAGAGTCTTATCTCTTCAAAGTACAAGGAACATTTGTTCTACTTTTTTCCGGTTGTACCAATAATTATTAGTAACTCTCCTTTCACTGTCAAAACTATTGTTTTAGATGAGAAATCAGATGGTCATCCTACTTATAGGCAAGATTTATATTCAAACTTATCATAAACCTTCTAAAACAACACAAATTCCCTTAAATAGCCAAAGGCATCCAAATCCTGCAGATATTTTTCTGACAATTTCGTGATTCTCCATTTTACTTTATTCTATTTGCCTCTTTAAGTTTTCCATAATATTCTGACCAGAAATTAGCACTTTGCCTTATTCAGTTCTTTTCATGTGAAACAGTCTTACCTCTGTGAAGAGATCAACAGTTGCTTAAAAATAGGGTTTTGTATTTATGTCTCTCAAGAACAGTATTATGGACATATATAATGAACTCAGTAAATATAGTTGTAATAATAGAGACTAGCAGTGATTGAAAGATCCTATTAGGTGGTTACCATGATAATGTTATAGAACTGAGCACAATCCCTTAGGGATTTTAGAGAAACGATGTTTAATAAGTTGAGTAAATCCACTGAGGAATTAGAGCTTGAGGGGGGATGAGGAAATGTTATCATACATTATGGTATTTGATGGTGTATGACAGGCGTCCCCATACACTGTGACACCTGCAGCAGAAGATGAAGTTTGTTTTGGCCCCTCCCAAAACCCAGGCTGTGTCTTTGCACAAGGCACTTGATGTTCCAAGCCCGAGTTTCCTTCTCTATCATAGAAGGATAATATTACTAGCCCCATCTCCTTTCGAGTTATGAGGTAAACTGAAAGATCTAGAGGAATCCGTTATGTTATTCAGTTTACAGAGAAGAGGGCAGATACTATGCATGTGGGAGGAATTATGTCAGACGGTGGTATTACAGATATGAGTTGCTGCGGCATCTGGCTCAAGCAGTTTACGATTTAAGAGACAGAAATTTTCCAAGAACGACAGCAAAAACTGAAACAAACCAGAGCTTGAGGGAGTCTGTGAGACACAGAGAGAGACAGAGGTAAGGGCACTTCAGTATGCTTCAGGAGCCTGAGAGGGCTTTACCAGAAGTCAGTGCTGCAGCTGAGTGACACCTGCAGAAATGTGAACAAATTTGGGAGCCAAAGAGAAAAGCAGTGTGAGGATCTTGAGGACAGGGAGCACAGGTGAGAGACGAGGGAGTATGTTATGGCTGAGAGAGGGGTGTGTGGGGAGAACAAGGGCAATGAGGCCAGCAGGAGAGGAAGGGTCAACATGAAGGAGGAGCTCCCATCCCAGGCAGTGAGGAGCTACTTAATTATTTTGAGAAAGACACAATTGTGAGAAAAATCACTCCAGTGGCAATGCAGATGGACTATATGAGATGAGAATGGTGGCAGGAAGCCATTTCATAGCTCTGACAGAAGATAATGAATTCTGGAACTAGGGCAATGTCACCCAGGATCACAGGAAGACATATGACAGAGGCATCCAGGAGGTGGAAACAAAAGAACCTGATTAATTAGATACTTGAGGTGCGGAATACAGAAAAATGTATGGATTATTTTTTTTCCACGGGGAGAAGCTGGGTGTTGGGAAGATGTTTAGGAGCAGAGAGACTTAAGGAAGCACAAACTCTGGAGCCAAACTGCCTGGTTTCCAGACCAGGTTTTGCCACTAACTGGGTGATCTCAAAGAAGATATCTGAACTCTCCGTGCCTCCCTCACATCATTTGTAAAATGGGGATGATAATAATAGCACCTACCTTGTAGGGCTGCTATAAGGATTAAATGGGTTAACATTTATAAAGCATGGAGAACATAGTGAGTGCCATATAATGTTTGTAAATAAATTTAAGATGGGATAAAATTTTAAAAAACTGACCAGAGGACATCTGGGTGGCTTGATTGGTTGGGCGTCTGACTCTGGATTTCAACTCAGGTCTTGATCTCAGTGTCCTGGGATCAAGCCCCAAGTTGGGCTCTACATTCAGTGTGTAGTCTGCTTGAAGATATTCTCTCTCCCTCTGCCTCTACCCTTCCCCCATTGCACTTCTCTCTCAAATATATAAATAAACTAAAAAAATAAAGAGACTGACCAGGTAAGGGGAAAAATTGCACATATGGGAAAGAAAGGATACAAAATTTGGGACAAGATCCAGAAACGGGGCAGGAGGGTGAGTTCAGTAAGAGGGCAGTGAAAGGGGACAAGGTAGATGAGGACGAGCATGCAGTGGGCTGGAAGATGACGGCATTCGAATCAACAGTCTCCAATTTGTAGGTGAAAGAGGGAGTACGGCTCTGTGATAATGACTGAAGATAAAGGGGGAAGGAAAGGATGGGGTTAAGGAACGTACTGAAGGTCTGGAAATATGCCTGGGAGCAACGAAAGAGCTGATTTATAGGAGAGCCTGGCTGAACCTGGATAGTATAAATTTATAGTGGTACCAGTCTCTACTTTGGGATGACTCCAACAGAGCTCAGCCTAGCCATGGGACTGAAGGCATTTATTAGAACTGAACAAGAGGTGGGGATTTACAGGCATAGGGTGGTGAATGCACCATGGAGCAAAGAAGCTGCAGATACTTACAGAAGTTACATAAAAGGGGATCTAAGTTGGATGGGGAAAAAGTATATGGGTCTGGAAAATGCAAAGGAATCCAATTGCTTCAGATAATGATGGGATTAGTGCATAAGAGATTAAGAACTAAGGATTAGAGGCTGCACAGAATATGGGGTACTGCAATTAAGATGATAGAAGGAGAGTGGGATGGTGATGATGGGGGCCAGGCAATGATGACGGTCCAACTCAAAGGGTGGCAAGAGAAGTAGGTGTGAACAAGAGTAGAAACAATGATAGGAAGTAAACACTTTAAAGAACAGAAAGCTACTATATTTGATGGAACTGTAGAAGGAATATGGCATAACATACCTTGTATAGAAATAATTCATTTTTATTTGAGAAGATGAAAATGCAATTGATTTAAGACAAATAAAAATCATTCTGAACATTACAGAGAAAAAAGCTAACAATACTCACTATAAAGCGATGAAGTCCATAGTACAATAGGATATCTGCTAAGGTAAAGTTATATCCTGTAAGGTAGACTTTATCTTCAAGATATGAATTAAGATCCTAAAAGAAACAAGTAAAAAACAAAATTTTAATTTAAAAATAAGTAATAATTGGGTGGCTCAGCCAGGTAAGCATCCAACTCTTGATTTCAGCTCAAGTCATGATCTCAGGGCTGTGAGATAGAGCCCTACAACAGGCTCCACACTCAACACGGAGTCTGAGATTCTCCCTCTTCCTCTGTCCCTCCACCTACTCATGCTCTATCATGTGTATGTGTATGTGCTCTATGTGTATGTGCTCTATCAAATAAATAAAATCTTCAAAAAAAAAAGACAGTAATTATAAAGTTAACTACCATATCACTGGACTTCAAACATTTAGAAGACTATGAGAAAACAAAACACTCCTTTTTAATTTGATAAATTTAATATGACATTAATAGATTCAGAATCAAAGGAATGGATCATATACCAGTCACCTCATTTTAAAAAATAGGGTAAATGTTATTAGTCTAATTTTATTTTAAAGAAATAAGAAAACATTAAAAAATGCTGTTCAAAATGCCATCTATGACCATTTCAAAGATACCAATTTTGGGAGGGGCAGAAATAATTTTGTAAATTATGTTGTTATATTTACTTTTTCCATTAAAACATAAAAGCTCTTCAACAATTTCTCTTAAGAGGATTATAATTTATTGGTTTGCTGTATTTTTACATATGTATATTTAAAAATTTTTAATTGTAATACAATCATGTTTCCATCTTAGCCACTTTTAAGTGTATAATTCAGTACATATCACTGTTGTGTAACCAGTCTTCAGAATTTTTTCACCTTGCAAAACTAAAACTCTATTCTATTAAACAACTCCCAATTTCCCCCACACCCCATACCCTGGCAAACACCACTCTTTCCGTTTCTATGAATTGGCAACTTTAGATACCGCAGGTAAATGGAACCATAGGGCATTTGTCTTTTTGTGACTAGCTTATACTTAGCATAACACCATCAGGGGTCAGTCATGTTGTTAACAGGAGTTAGAATTTTCTTCCCTTTGGGGCTAAATAGAATTTCATTGTTTACATATATACCACATTTTGTTTATCTAGTCATCCGCCAATGGGCCCTTCTAGGCTATCATCAATAATACTGCTATGGATGTGGGTGTATATACATCTCTTTAAAGGCCACTTTGAATTATTTTGGGTATATATCCATAAGTAGAATTATTACACACACACACAATAATTCTACTTTGATCTTTCGAGTAATCAGCATATTGTTTTTCATAGCAACTGCACCATTTTACATTTTTAACTGGGTTCTTTGTTTTTTTTATTGCTGGGCCATAGGAGTTCTTTATATATTTTAGATATTAACTCTACCAGTTACATGATTTGCAAATATTTTCTCCCATTCCATGGGCTGACTTTTCACCCTGCTGATTATGTCCAGTGATGCAGAGAAGTTTAAAATTTTGATGTAGTCCAATTTATCCATTTTAACTTTAGTTGCCTATGCTTTTGGTGTCATATCCAAGAAATCACTGCCAAATCAAATAACATGATATTTTTTCCCCTAAGTTTTCTCCTAAGAGTTTTATAATGTTACGTTTTACATTCAGGACTTCAATACATTTTGAGTTAATTTCTATATTTCGTGTAAGGTAACATTCCAACTTCAACTTCATTCTTTTACAATTGGAGATCTAGTTTTTCCAACACCTGCAAAACTCCACAGTTTTTTAAAAAAGATTTATTAATTTATTTGAGAGAGCGAGAGAGAATGCAGGTGTGGGTGTGGGGGAGGGGCAGAGGGAGGGAATTTTCCAGCAGATGCCATGCTGATTGTGCAGCCCCATGCAGGGCTCCATCTCACAACATGTGAGATCATGACCTGAGCCAAACCAAGAGTCTGACACTTAACCAACTGAGCCACCCTGAAAGATTCCAGGTGTTTTTGTTTTTTAAAGATTTTATTTATTTATTTGACAGAGAGACAGAGATCACAAGTCAGCAGAGAGGCAGGTTGGGGGCAGAGGGAAGCACCCTCCCCGCTGAGCAGAGAGCCTGATGTGGGGCTTGATCACAGGACCCTGAGATCTTGACCTGAGCCAAAGGCAGAGGCTTAACCCACTGAGCCAGCCAGGCACCTCAAAAGACTCCAGTTTTAAACACCACTTAAACCTACAGAAACCTACCTTTGCCATTTGTTCTCCAGACCACAATCATCAAAAGGCAATTTAAGTTATATACACAATCTTTAACAACAACAACAAAATACTACTAAGCACTGAGCTCCCTCAATGGTGAATAAATACTTTTGAAGGAAAAAAAGAACTAAAGTACATGTTAAAAAATGAAATAAAAATCTTAAGAAATCCTAATCCAAATCAGAAGTAAAGTCTGACAGAACAACATGAATTAATCAATTACCTCCCAGAGAAAATAAAAAATGTAGATTAAAAAAAATCACATGAATACTTTGGGTTCCTCTCAAAATTAACATATAATTTAACAGCACAGGAATTCATGATGCATTGATTATGCTGCATTCAAATCAAATGAGACAAAAGATTCCTATAACCTTTAGACAAAGGTTTATAAATCAGTTACATGGTTTATTATCACGTATTCTCACAGGCTCCTCCTCTAAGGACTAGTTACAGAACACTGCTCAGTGGTCGATAGCATTTATTCCAGAAAAATGCCTTAAACTGTAGAGAACATTTTGTTTTCTCAAATCACATCCCAAATATCGGGCACATGGTAGTTCCATATATTTGCTGAATTGAATTTAATCTCTTTGAGTATGCCCATATCTTCATCTAAAGACAGTAATTTTCAAAACGCTATATAAACATGGAATTGCTAGGGTTGGTACAGATGAGGGCATAAAGGTATTGGATAAAAATGAGACAAATGCAGAAAAATCAAAGTAAAATTTGGGTACAGAGGGTGAAATAGACTGGTATATAAGGAGCTACCACTTAAATTCTAGAGTGATCTGTGAATGGAGATGTTTTCTCTCCAAGTGTCTTCAAATGAAACAACCTGGATAAAGTTAAGAATAAAACAAACATATCTTCAATTTAATTTTAAGAAGCATGTTTAAAAAACGTCTAAACCAGTAACTGAACACTGCTCTGTACAGAGTATATTTTCTTAAAACAGAATCCATTGTAAGTTTTTGTTATAGAGACTCTCAAGGTTGTCGTCTTTAAAATGTCTTTATAATTAAAATTTTTCTGATTAATGATATAGTTCAAATCTTCTCTGCCATATCACAGAATTTCACATATTCAGAATATTCACAGAACATTCAATATTCATTTGTTTTAAACAAATCTTTCGCATGCCACTACCAAAATTTAACAAACATTTCCCCCATAGAGTTCTACCTGAGGTTTTGTTTCCTAATTAGTATTAAACTTTCTAATAACATTGAAAAAGCAGGTAATAAACAGCTATATATTCCCCATCTAGATTCAACAACTGTTAGTGTTTTGTAATGCCTGTCATTTTGAAATTATATATTACCTTAATTATGAGCCATTTTTAAACTTAGAATAGCGGTTTTAGCCTGAAATGGAACTTTAGAGAGTAAGAAAGTAAGTAATATGAAGATAAATAGCCTGGTATTAAAAATGGGCAAAGAATGCATACAAGGAAATTTTTAAAAATTATTTAAATCCTGGTACACCTACATGAGGCAATACTAACAGGTTATCAAAAAGACAGCATCAGTGAATATTTTGTGGACATGAAAGATGTTTGCAACTGTCAGTGAACAAAAAAATGCAAGTTACAGCAGCCAATAGCTGCTCACTTTTAAAACACACACACACACACACACACACACACACACACACACACACACATATCTTTATGGAAAAGAAAAGCATGGAAAGAACATGAAAGGATTTCAATAAATATCTGATGACCAAGTTTAAGTGTTATCAGCACTTCTCTCTTGGTGGGACTACTAATGCTTGAGAATTTTTTTCCTTATATTTTTAAAAATTTCTATAACAAGTATATACTGCCTTTAAGATAAAAACAGCAAAAAGCAAAACAAAAACAGAAAACAACGCTTTCTCACCTATGCTCATATGGCCAAAAATCTCATATGGCCAAAAATCACAGTGCGGTCCATTATACATACATTTGTCTCCCCCACTGGTCTAAGCCCTGTAGAGGCTAAGACTGTGTCTACTGGGTCACTGTACCACTGTCCTTAGAACTGCATCAGCGCAGGTACAGGTAAGGAAACTGACATAGCAAGGATGACAACCAAATAACCTGTTCCTTACACACTTCAAAAGTGGCAATATCTCTAGTCGGATTCTCTTCACTGGACTTTCCAATAATATTTACATATCCCAGATACAACATTTTGGTGGAAGTACTTCCATGTTCTTAATACCCAATCTCTGAATACAACTTTGAACTTATAAACCTAATTTGGTGAAATCGTGTTCAGATCTTTCAGAATGAAGTACTTTATTACTATCCTTGTTTCTGGAAAATTTTAAGAGATAGTTATATTTTATTTGCCTGAAATCCCACATTCACTTAAAGGGAAAACATGCTTGCTTCGCTCTGGAAAGGCTGCTGAGCATGGCAGAGGACAGTGGGAGGGGTCAGTATGGATATTAATTAAGCATGTATAGTTGGTCAGGACAGACTTATAAAGGAACAAGGTTGGAAATTCATTTTTTATCAGTTCTCTTGATGATATCTTTCAAAAATATAGTTTAAACCATTTCCCCCAGAGTGATCAGTGAAAAGCTTTCCGTTCTATGAGACCTTCTTTCACAACTTATACTACCAGTTTATATTATAATGGGAACAAAATTACAAAACAGAAGGGATTCCTGCAGTGATATGTGGTTACCTGGATATCTCTAAGGTTCCTTCAAATTCTAAGCTTCTATTAAAAAAATGTTTTTTATTTGCTTTATTTTTATGTAAATAATAAAAAATATCATTTAGAATGTTTCTCACGGCTGGTGACTCTGCAGCCATACTCAGCTTATACCTTCTATCAGTAGATTCTTTTGTTCTGATTTTGCTTCTTTGGAAAGAAAATACAAATCTTAAAGCAGTAAGTCTGAAGGAAAAAAATGTGGGTTTTTTTCAGATCAATCTAACGGGCTTTTGCAGTAGCTCCCAATGATTCTGATTTCCTTCTTGCCTTCGAGAAAGTACTTTACCACTGAGTGGAGAAACTAAGTATTAAGACATTAAAAAAAGAATCATACAAATAATGGTTGACTGTGATGAGTGTTAGAAAGAAAAAGCATACAGGACAAGGACCCGCATATGTTAGAGAGGTGGTCAAAAACATTTCTGGGGAAGGGACATCTGAGCTGAGATCTGAAGGGGGATGGCAGGTAGAGTCTGTTTCCAGCATAGGTAATAACAGGTACAAATTACCCTGAGGCAGAAGGAAACAAGAAGGCCAATGGCTTCGGCTAGTGAATCCCAGGGGAGAGAGCTTCCTGCTACAAACAGTTCATGCGTTTTAGCCTCTAAAGAGAAGTCACAATACCTTCAACAGAGTGCGGATTTCGTCTTTATTGGAGTGTCCATCTACTCGAGTTACCCTGTATTCCAACCACTGCTGAACGATTGCTTTTTCTTCTGCAGTGCTCCCCAGCAAATATTCTTTGTTGGCCTGCTTGACAAGATGAGCTGCTATAGTAGTGAGTCCTGTTAGACTTGGACCATTGTTTGTCTGAAGAACTGGAATCTTAAAAAAGAAAAAAAATTCTTTTGATAAATTTAAAATACAGATCTCAACAGGACCTCAAGTTCTAAGGACTTGCTAAATCCCTCACTGGTTTTTCAAATGCCCTAGGATTCTACTCTAAGATACTAAGATATTCAAATAGAAATCAGGAAAATAGTAGTTAAGATATTATTTACAATTTGATCAACAGATGCTTCAAGTGAAACCGGTAGTAACATTGCAAAAATCAATGTTTCTAACATTAATTCCTAATCATGCATACATAAGAGGAAAAAATGGAAATCCCAATAAAATTGCATTAATTTTGATCAAGTTTACCAATAACCTCTTTTAGCAAGATGAACATACTTAAATAAACCTGACTTCTATAATAACAAAAGGATATGATTACAGTAATGCTGACTTGATGTCAATATAGTTAGAACCACCAAATGAGATCTGGGCTGGTTTTAGTGATAAGCGATCTAATATAATTATATCTTGTTAACACAGGTATGGACTGTGACAATGACCTGGCTGCCATGAATTGCGTATCTACCGATTTTCGAATCATTTAGAGTGAAGTCACTGTTGGCCAATATTTTATATCTAAAAAACATTCCAAAATATAATTGGGGCCACTGATAATAGTCTGGGCTTCAGGTAATCATCTGAAAAATAGTCCAGTTTTTGTTTCCCTTATTAGAACAGCAATACAAAGACTCAGATTATAAGAAATTGACAATTAATTTAAATGTTCTTGATGCACAACCAAGAAATTTAAAGCACAATGAGAAATTTTTAAAAAAATGGAATGTATCATCTGATGGGGAGACTGACTAATTACAAGTAACAATATACAATCTAAACAACCCAACAAACCAAAAAAGCATATTTTCTTGGGAAGACTGGCTGATTTCTGCAGTCACTAAATAGTACCTTGTATTTGTAAAGTGATTTACACTTTGCAGGGCCCTTTCATGCTCACCTATAGGTCAACAGGACTCTGCAAAGTATACAAAGATATTAACCTTTTACAGATACAGATTCAAAGGTTACCTCCTACAAGTCAAAGGAAGTAATGAAAGCCACTCTCTGATTTTCCACTTCTCACCTACTTTCCATTTACTACTTAGCTCCTAGAATTTTCACTTTTGCCTTCACATTCAAATGAAGCCTCCACCTCTAAGATCATGAAATATCCTTTTAAAAAATGCATTGAAAGAAAACAAGAAAACAAAAAAACCCTCTGGGGATGCTGGTTCTATTGTTCTATTTCTTGTTGGTTGGTTCCTTGTGTGGTTACCTACCTGTGTTCACTTTGTGGTAACTCACTGAAATTTATTTGCTTTTCTGAAGGTATGCTATACTTTAAAAACAAAAAAGAAAAACAAAAAGAACTTGTAATTAATGAGCGTGTAGGAGAAATGACATTTAATTCTAAAGAGAATTATTTGTAAAAATAAATGATCCACCATCCTACATTGCTGACTCAAAAACTTCCTTGGGTGGCTCAGTGGGTTAAGCCTCTGCCTTCGTTTCAGGTCATGATCTCAGGGTCCTGGGATCGAGCCCTGCAGAGGGCTCTCTGCTCAGCAGCGAGCCCGCTTCTCCTCTCTCTCTGCCTGCTTCTCTGCCTACTTGTGATCTCTGTCAAATAAATAAATAAAATCTTAAAAAAAACAAAAAACAAAAAACTTCCCAGTTACCTTCTCATCCCATCTTCTAAGTTGGTGAGTAATTTCATTATCATCTTACAGAAAAAGAACCAAGGTCACCTGCTTTGTCATGGCAGAATCAGAGTCTGGATAAAGTAAGATTGACTTGAAAGTCCCTTCTCTTTCCTTCCTACAGCCTGAAGTACACAAATCTTATGTAGTTGCAATTGTGGGATATATACTTTTTCTACATTCATTTTAGGATGCCATGGTCTTCTAAGTAATCATCATCGATGGCTAGTAAGTAATATTATAATATGCTGATGTACCATACTAATACTATATTTTTCTATACATAAATACCTATGACAAAGTTGAAGTAATAAATTAGGCACCGTAGTATGAGATTAACAGCAATAACTGATAATAAAGTAGAATAATTATATCAATATACTGCAATAAAAGTTATGTGAATGAGGTTGGTCTCTCTCCAAATATCCTATTCTACTGCGCTCACTCTTCTTGTGATGATGTAAGATTTCAAAATGCATATATAATCAGATGAAGCGAGGTGAATCACGTAGGCATTCTGACACAGTGCTAGGCTACTCCTGACCTTCTGACACTATGTCAGAAGGAGAATCATCTGTTTCTGGACATGGCTACCACGGGTAACCAAAACCACAGATATCGAAACCATGGATGGGGAGGAGATACACAGATAGGTGACTACTGTATAACTGGTAATGTTGCAAAGAATGCTTTATTACTTGATGTGGAGAACAAAGGCAAAAGAAAAAAATTAAATTTCCTTACAACTTACAGCCCAATGACAAGTCCTCGAGACAGGCAGAGTGACATTCCTCTAGGAACTCAACTGCCTCCATCGATGTTAATACTTTGCTAAAGGCAAAAGGCAACCTTAGCTTAAGAGTAGCCTGACCTCCAGGATCCTGTAAGTCTTCTTTAACAAATAAAAATCCCTTTCAAAACTTCCTTTATCTCTACCCCCCAAGATATATGTTAGTACTCATCCTCCAAGTATATGGCCCACTGATACATGTCTGAAAGGTCTCATGACTAAGGTTTTACTAGACAGTAATGAATGATCTTTTCCTAACAATAGCTAGCCCTGCAAGATCCTAGAAACCTTGCTTCCAGATTCCTTAGAGACGAATGCTATCCTTAGCCCTCTCCCAACTTGAAAGTATTTAATCAGTCACTCCTCACAACTCCTGTGAGTGCTGTCCCTGTGCTTTAATAAAACCACCCCTTTTGCATGAAAGATGGTTCAAGAATTCTTTCCAGACAATTTGCTCACAAACCCCAACATTTTCACACCACTGCTGGCTTATTGCTGTCAGGTGTCTCTTCCCCACCAAAAACAGACCAAATATTTTTATTTATTCCCATCCCTTTCACCAAACATATAAATAGAAATAGAAACTTTCAATAGTTGCTTTCTGCTAAGATCCCCCCCCCCAACAAAAAAGTTTCAATTAAAATAAGAAACCACACTCTGAACTCCACAAAGCCCTCACAACTACCCTCAAACTATAATTTTGGGCTTATTTCGCATTGTAGTATTTTTCGTATTGGTCTACAACTTGTCCAAAACTTCCAAATCTTTCATAATTTTGGTCTCACACGCTTTAAACACCAGCTTTTCTGTGAAGTTTACTACGAATTCATTCTCATAGTCAAAATTAACTTTCTCCTCCACATTCCTCAGCAACGTCTCCTCTGTTTAGTATGTGGAGGCCAAGAAAAACAAGGCTGTACCCACCTCAAGTTTAGCCTTGACATAAGTACAGCCATCTTGGCCCTGGCAGCCATCTTAGGTCTCTGTGACCGGTAAATGACCCCTGGCTCCAGAAAGACTGACCAAAGGTTTTGAAAACAACACACCATACCAAAAATCAATTAGGAATAGGATAGCTTAACGAGGTAATATGTCATGTCAGGAGTAGGATAGCTTGACGTTGTAATAAATCATGTCAGAAATAGGATAGCTTAACACTGTAATAAATCACAAGAACATAGGGATGGTGATCGTGGCCCAATCACCTACTGCCAAGTCCACCCCGACTCTGTCTTTAAAAACTCTTGACTGTAATCTGGTTTGGGGTCCAAGTCCCTACTCCACTGTGTCGGGTATACTTGGGCCCAAGCTTAAGCTTGTCAAATAAACCCTCGTGTGCTTGCATTGGTGTTGGCTCCTTGGTGGTCTCTTGGACACGAAACTTGGGCGTAACAGGTAGATGTTCTGTCTTGCCTTAAGTTAACTGCCAATGACTATTTCTCATACTAGGTAAGCTTCCTGAAGGCAAGACTCATGTCTTGGCAATGTTCTCTAAAAAACAGAAACCAAACTAGGGAGCAGAGGGTGAAAGGAAGGAATCAGCATGAGGCCAGAGGAAAAAGCAAAAGAAGGTGGCCTGGTCTCCAATCAGTGGGTTCATCTTAGGCGAGCCCCAAGACCTTCCTAGGCTTCAGTTGAACTTACGTGTAAAAACTACACTAGGACTGCTTTTAACATAAACCAAACGAAGGGCCCCTGGGTGGCTCAGTGGGTTAAGCCTCTGCCTTCAGCTCAGGTCATGATCTCAGGGTCCTGGGATCAAGCTCCACATCAGGCTCTCTGCTCAGCAGGGAACCTGCTTCTCCCTCTCTCTCTGTGTCAAATAAATACATAAAATCTTTAAAAAAATAAATAAATAAACTAAATGAAGAACAGAAAAACCAAGAACAAAAAATAAACATCACATGGAAAAAATCTCAAGGGGGGGGGGGGCAAAAAATGTTACCTATCCAAAGTAGTCTCCTTACAATCATTCTCATTTTCTAATGCTTTCCAACCATGTTAAACAACGTTTATGAACGAAACACAAATGTTCTTCACTGTCCTGGGAAATCTGAGTCCTTATATCTTACCAGCTTCATACTGTATTACCCTTCCCCTTCATTCTCGGCATGTCTCACACTGAACCTGAACTCAGAAAAACCTTCCTTGAATCTCCCACATTGGACCAAGACCAAGTATGTGCTCTCTCAGCCTCTCTCGGCTTCAATGCAGCATTTTTCACTTACTGTAATCAAAATAGCAACAATCTTTGTCTACCCAGGTTAAAGCCAAGGTTCCTGGGAGGAAGGAGTGTGTCCGTCTTCTCAATCACTGCTGCATTCCCCAGTCCCAGCACAGTGCTACTTGACACCTCGTTAGCCCTCTGGAGTAGCTGCTGGACACTGAATGAAAACCAATGTTATAGTAAGTGCCGTCACTGAATACGGGGTCCTCAGATCGGCCTAAGGGCTCTCTGAGGGCCCTCCTCGCTTTCCTTAAACAGGACATTTCCCAGGAGGAAAAGTTCAGGCAAAGCCGGAACAAGGCAGATACCCCTGAAACCCTCAGGAGCCAGGGCCGCAGGAGACCGAGAGCCCCAAGCCAGCCAGCCCGCCCTGCGGCGCAGACACGTGGGGAGCGGAGCCGCATCCGCCGCCTCTGCCGGCCTACCCATCTTACCTGGGCTCAAAGGACCCGCTCTTATCCACCTCTTCCCCTCCACGCCGCCCCGCTTCTCACCTGGCGCTCGCCCTGAGCGCTGTATTTGTTCCCTTTACTCAGCCCCAGGGATTTCTCCAGCAGCGTCAACTCCGCGGCCGCCGCCATCTTCCGGCAGGAGCTCCTGGCAGGGGCGGGACCAGGACAGCAAGGATCTCCTGCATTGGCTGGGAGGGAAGGCACGCTCACACAAACGGCACCATCTATTGGCTGAACGCAGGGGGGCGTGGAAAACGTGCCTGAGCGAGGAGGCGGGGCCAAGGTAAGGGGCGGGGCGGAAAGATGGGTGTAAGACAGGTGGAGAGGGGGTGGCAAAGAATTCTGTGAGTTCTCGGAGCTCTTGAGGACGTTTTGGCATAACGGGCTTTGGTGTTGCAGTAGACAGAGTCTGCCCATTTCTAGACAGCAGGCTGTTGTCCTGGTTGGCAGAATTAACTGGTTAGCTGATTTGGCATGCTAAGAGACTTTTTATGCATAATTGGAATCGACATTTACCGTTGGAAAAGTTGGGAATCTCCGAATTTGAACAATCAAATTAAATAGCAAAGAGTTAATGGTCTATTAGGAATTTCTAACAGGGTATTATTCATGAGGATTTTAATTGTATTGGAAAAACAAATTTTTCTTCTTTCAATATACAGCTCAATAATAGAAGAGCATTAAAATTTAAAGATTATTTATAGAGCCCTGGGTATATTAGATACCATCAAGCAATTCCCGTGGCCCAGGAAAATCAGCCATCAATAGTTTTAATGATCTTATTTGCAGTACTACAAAGATAAAAGTATTGATTTAATTTATGTAGCTTTTATCAAGCGCATAAGAAATGCACATAACATCTTCCCCTTGAGCTGTTATATGCTTATGTCTTTAAGTAGAAAATGTGTAGTGTATGTTGAAGCCTGGACTACTTCCAAAAGATTTCTGGAATTTTTTTCTCCACATTGAAAAGTGAATAAACAAAATGTGTATTAGTCTGAGAGAAATGAAGTACTACAAGGTAGCTCATCACTAATTCAGAAATATGGCCATTTCATAGGGAAATGCTGTCCATGTATGATACCTTCCTTACCCCCAAATACTTAATGAGTTAACACTGGCAGCAGAAGTAAATGTAAGGAAAAGGAAAGTTGGTCAAATCAACATAAACAAAATACAAAGGAAATTCCAGTGGAAGTGGATTATTGCACATTGATTTTCTATTTTCCATATACAGAGAATTGGACGACTATTTCATTACTTCTAAAAAGGCCGGTTCTCTGAGAAAATTCACCTATTTTCAGTATTTAGGTTCGGGTTCTGCTTATAATAAAACATTTAAAAAATTCCATAGTTATGTAATTCCAGTGGACGGTATATAAGTTTTGACCTAAATGACCCTAAATTTGAGCTCCAGGATAAAAAAAATAACTGAATGGATATTCTCCTAAATGATAGAAATGATAATTTGAGGAAGCAAGATTTGATAAATAGGTAGGATATCATCTTTAAATTTATCCAGTTCAAATTATTACAGATAGATTTTGTAATTAAAAAGAAAATCTGTTTTAATGTGGATAGAAACTTCTTCCCTTTAAGCCCTGAAGTTTTTTAATATTGAATTTCTTTTTGTTTTCTGGTATTCTTACTTTTTTTGTGGATGTTCATGAATGGGATGGGGGGAAACTAGTGACCCCATGCAGTGCTTCTGAGATGAATGGGAAGGGAGATGGTGCCATATAAAAGAGGCAAATTTAAACTGGATTCCAGGAGCCAGAGGTTCCATACTCTATTCAGCACTAACTGGTTGGGTCGCTCTAGGCAGGTAGTTAGCCTTATTAAGACTCAGTTTCCCCAAATATAACCCCAGTGAGCTTGAATTCTATCTGGTTCCTTTTCGTGTTGACATTATGTCTTTCAATGTTTAAGGTAAGCACACGTATTTCACATTTTGTCTTAAATGAACATGCAATTTTGTATACTTTTCCCTTAAAGTGAACATATGTTTTTGTACCACTAATGTAATTTTGTAATTGTAATTTTGATATGTAACTGCACACTAAAGTAATTTTGTATGGTTGGCTGGAAAGTCTTTTGTTGTGGCCAATTGTGACATATAAATATCACAGCTTGCTTGTTTTAAACAGAAGTTAAGGGTGGCAATGGAGGGATCTAGATGTCCCTGTCATATTCTCTATTCTTAACAATAACAGATGAGAAAGAGATCAGAAGTGCTTCATATGGACACAGCAAGCTTCACAGGCATGCAAGCTTAGAAGTGCCCTGTGGTTGGTTTAATGCTCTGCTGTTGCCATCTTGAAATTCATTATATATATAGTATTTTTTTTTTTTGAGAGAGAGACTGAGAGCATGTATGCATGCATGTGTGCATGCTTGTGTAAGCTGGGGGGAGGGGAGTGGTGGGCAGAGGGAGTGAGGGCGTCCCGAGCAGGCTCCTTGCCCACTATGGAGCCCCATGCAGGACTCAATCTTACGATTCTAAGGTCATGACCTGAGCTGAAATCAAGAGTCAGTCACTTAACCGACTGAGCCACCCAGGAGCACCCTTATTCCCCCCATTATAGTTTTTTTTAAAGGACCCTGCATTTTCATATTGCAGCGGGCCCCATGACTTATATAGCCATGTATATAAACCTTGTTACCTTTGCTCCTGAGTTTAATAGACCAGGGAGATTCCAGGAAACATTTGAGGTTTGGACATTCCATGTCCAGTGCTTGACTATGTCTTTAATAAATGCATATCTGTTTCAGAAACTTCAACATGATCTACCATGGCTGCCTGTGTACCCTCCTTATTTACATCCTCAGGAACCCAGAGGGAAACTAATCCTTGCTGAGCACTGTTGAGTGTCTGCTCAGTGTGTTAGCATAATATATGTCATTCAATCTCTACAAAAATAGTAGACGATGTGTGACCCTCCAGGTATGATTCATGTCAGGACGTTTGGATACAATCAACAGTATCTACTCCAGGCAGGAAGTACAGAAGAGGATTTTAGGAAGTTCACAATAATGTTAGGCTGGAGGCTAGAGAAATAATCTCAAACCTAGGATTCCAAAACCAAGTTGGAGAATTGGCCTGTTGAGGAACTTCTACCATATGTGTCATGGCTACAAAGTACAAACACCAGAAATTAGATGTTACTTCAGTTACCACTGCTAACAGCATCAATGCCGCTTCTGCCTCAGGAACATGACCTTCAAATCATTGGGAAACTTCTCTTTCATCATTACCTGTGGAAGCTGGATGCCTGGGCCACTAGCTTTTTCAGCAGAAATGGCAGGTCCATGCACAGTGGCTTCCTAACATTCCACACCTCTGGATCAAAGTTCTGATTGCAGAACTTAGTCACTTGCTTGTGTGCAAGGCTGTAAGTTAATCTAGGAAATTGAGTTTTGACTTCTATATTCAAGGGGAATTGATTTTATCTTTTTTAAATAAAGATTTTATTTAATTATTTGATAGAGAGAAAAGAGAGAGAGAGAGAGATATCACAAGTAGGCAGGGCTGGAGGTAGAGAGAGAGAGGGATGCAGACTCCCTGTTAAAAAAAGAACCAGGACCCTGAGATCATGACCTGAGCTGAAGGCAGAGGCTTAGCCCATTGAGCTACCCAGGTGTCCCTGATTATCTCTAGTACCATGACTAAATGATGGACATAATGGAGGTAGTCATTATACAATGCTTATCTTCTCTGCATGGTAGGAACAATATAACTATAACAAATGTATAACTGTCAAAAACTTTAGCTATTTGTATAATTATCAAAAGTGGGGAGATAAGATGAAGAACATATGGAACTAAGACTAGCTTGCTGATTGGTGTTGGTTAGAAGAAAAAAGCTATTATTTCACATTAGGTGCTGAAGGAGCAGGAGGGAAGGAGAAAGAAAAGATTTCTAGCAAATTCCAATATTGTTCATAATAGGTAAGTGATAGGCAGTATCCCCAAGAAGAGAGGATTCAGTTATTATATAAAGGTATTATTCTAAAAGTAACAATAGAGCAAATACATAAGCTGTCTTAAGCACCAAAAGAAAGAGAAAATGCAAGCAAATAAAGCAGACCATGTAAGTGGATGGCTGTATGTCTGCCTGTACCCATTTAACAGAACTGAGGCCAAGTATATGGATTATATTAATAAATATGTAAGTTTATTTCACCTATAAAAGAAAAGGATTTTATTTTTTAAATATATATATATATATATATTTGTATTTACTAGAGAGAGAGAGAGAGGAGCATGAGCAAGGAGGAGTGGCAGGGGGGAGGGAGAAGCAAATTTCCCACTGAACAGAGAAACCTGACACAGGGCTCCATCCCAGGACCCTGAGATGACCAGAGCCGAAGGCAGATGCATAACTGACTGAGCCACCCAGGTGCCCCAAAAAGGATTTTAGAACTGTCTAACAAAGCAAAATTCACATGATGCTGTTTACAAGAGCACATCCCACATCCAAAAGAACAAAGGGGACTTTATATTGCTAAAGGCTACAATATAGGATAAAGATAAAATAGTGATTAATGGGGGTGCCTGGGTGGCTCAGTGGGTTAAAGCCTCTGCCTTCGGCTCAGGTCATGATCCTGGGGTCCTGGGATGGAGCCCCACATTGGGCAGGGAGCCTGCTTCCCCCTCCTCTCTGACTGCTTCCTCTCCCGCCTTCTTCTCTGCCTATTTGTGATCTCTGCCTGTCAAATAAATAAATAAAATCTTTAAAAAAATAGTAATTAATGTTCCATACCCAGAAACATGAGAAAATTTTTACCAGGAGATACAATAGGAGATGGCAGGGGAAGTAGAAACTCAGGAATAATAGGAGGCTTTACTATATCTCCTCAATCTGAGACAGAGCAAGCAGGAAAAAAATTAGGAAGAATATAAAAAATCCAGAAAGATAAGGAGTAATTTAGAACATAAACATATGTACAAATCTCTGAAACCTGATAAATAGAGGAAACACCTATGTATTAGCTTTCCTATGCCTGCTGTGACAAATTCCTACCACCTTGGTGGATTAAAACAACAGGAATTCATTTGTTGCATTCTGGAAATTAGAAGTCCAAAATCAGTTTCACTGTACCAAAATGAAGGTGTCGGCAGGCTGCATCATTCCAGTCAAGGCCAGCATCCTCAGATTTCT